AACATCAAGGAAAATGCAGATAGAATCCAAGGTTCAGTCAAGGCCTGCACATTGAAGTGGGGAGAAGACATCACACCCTTTCTTCCACATCCAGACTACATCATATTCTCAGACTGCATTTACTATGAGGAGTCGCTGGAGCCTCTTCTAGAGACCGTTTCAGCTTTGGCTGGAAACCAAACTGTAGTACTGTGGTCGTATGAAGAACGCACAACAGGAAACAAGCCAGAGCTGCAACAGAGGTTCTTTGAAGCAATCACAAAAGACTTTAGTGTTGAGGAAGTACCACAAGACTGTCTTCATCCTGTGTACCAAAGTGAAGATATACATGTGTTACGCATGGAAAGGAAAAGTTGAAACAATTGAAGGATCAAAAATGTCTGAAGACACACCACGATATCAAATGTATGATGTATGAAAGGGTAGACCATTGAACTTCAAATGGTATACTGAATGGGTTCAGTTAAGTTGAACCGTGGTACTCAGGATACTGCCATGTATTGGCAAATGTGTAATGTTGTATTAGCTTACAGTGATATTACTGTAATGCTGCAGTTAGCTCCCAGCACTCACAGTCAGAGCCACATACATGTAATTTACATTTTGGCTTACTTAGTATATGGTGATGTCTGTGCCATATGCATCCAGCAATATACAAATAAGCAGATCTCTGGAGATTGTAACTGTTATACTTATAACTCATGCCTTAGTCTAGTTTGTGTCAAATGCTTGTACTAACATTACAAATAAACATTAAATGCAAACCATTTTTTCTTGGACTTTTTTTATCAACCTACCGGTGCTGTAACAGAAAAATATATTGACCATCATGATATGCTGATTGCAGATTACTAGTACTTGGAAATTTTCATAACGATATAATGACAGTGCTTGCTACTTTAGGTAGGCACTGCAGTGCAGCCGCAAGGTGGCGTTATTGCACCAGCATCATGGAGGAGGTAGCGTCGTCCGAAACGTTTTCTCCGCAGATCCACGTGCAGGGTTTTGTTGATGAAGCCATTAAGACTTTAGATGTGAGTGACTTGTACAGCAAAAGAGAAATCTTGAAGTCCGTCACTTATGCAGAGGCCATGAATGTATCCATAGAGACTGTAGATGAGCTGAAGTCGGTTTGTAGGTAAGTACTTAGTACTGAAGGGGGAGGGGGGCACCTAAGACCAGGTTTTGTTTTATAGAACTTTTACGTGATTAAGAATAAAGCCAGGCAGTGTACATGTGTGTTGCTGGGAAATCTCTTGGGGTGTGATACTGTTGAAGTTTTCCTGGGACAACCAAAAATATTTTCTTTTTTACTGCTCAAATTATCTAAATAAGTATATTTATATTCACATGTAACATGTTAACGTCATCATGTCTTTTAATTATGAACAATTAACGTGATAACTGTTATCAATCCTGTTAATTATACTCATGCTCAATAATTTGCTTGGTGGCAGTTTAATTGTTATTGTGAACAAATTTGAATGTATCTTATCTAGGGGGCTAGAAGCAAATTACTCATGTTTATCCTCTCAAGAGTCTCACTAATTTTTTTTTTTCAACTTACAGCACACAGACACTGAAGGTAAGATTTATTGAATGCTGGTCACTTTGTACTAATCTTCATTCAGTATATGATACATTCACATCCGACTTGCATAATTTAATTGTCCTATTTTCGCTTAGAATTATTTCTGTTACATACATATCTTTTCAATGTTAATGCTACATTATCTTTCATTCTATTATACTGGTAATTTGCATTTGTGCACTTGTTGCAACATTGCTACTTTTACTTGTAATATCTTTTCCTGGCTGAAAGTACTCATACCTTTGCTGCAGTGCCCCCTAGAGGACATTGACAGAGATGCAGCAGAGGTGCCAACAGGAACAGAGTTGGTCACTTTGGGGTAAGGCAAGAAGATGTAACTTGATATACATGTACCAAATGATAATTCATCAAAGTTGTGATGCAATGAATGGCATTCCTGCAACCCCCAAGTGTTAAATTTCTTCAAGGTGTAGAAACATCTTCTCATTCGTGCCTTAATTCATTAACAAGGAACGACAGACATCAAAATCAACCTTCAAAACAAATTTTTGAAGATTCAGTTATAATTGTGCAAGGCTTTATTAATAAGAATTAAATTAAGAGTAGCAATTTTTAGTACAGGAAATGAGCTTTTTCATGAAATAAGTTTCCACAGATCTTTCTCATGTGCCAAAATACCGACTGCAGAAAGGCTGCTATACAAAATGTACTACATTCCTAAGAGTTTTAATGATACAGTTTGTAGGTACAATAATCTTCATGACTTTTTCTAAACAGGTTAAGAAAGAGATACCTGGACTCAAAACCCAACATCAACAAGAACTGCAAGTTCACAGTGTTGTCCTGGAACCAGGTTAGTTAGTTAACTAGTCAGTTGACTTTTCCATGGCCCCTCCTTTGGTGATTGAAATAAATGTCCATGGCCCTCCCCCAGTAGATACATAATGCACAGTCCCCTAATGTGTTTCCTCCTGTTGTCCAATAGGAGCATGCCTATCACAATGTGAAGCCGCCCCCGGAAAGAGAGGTCAAACCACAGTGTGCCGTCCTGCAGGTGGCCGTGTTCCACCCGACTAAGAGGACCATGCGCAGGCGGCCTGGGGTGAGCTGTACCTCACACACACACCTCCCTTTTTTCCCTTGTAACTTCAATAACATGTGTATTTCTGATCACTTCTAATTCCATAGAGATTGAAACACCTGTACAGTAACATGCTCCACTGTGGTACCTTGGCATCCTTTGTTCAGAAACTAAAACATCCTTTTCTGCAAGGAGGTTCTGTCCTCTTACTTTTTGTTGACAGAATATTAGCAGAATATATAAAATGAAGCAAGGATAGCAAGACCAGTTCCATGTTCTTACAGTGGTCATTTTATATTATATCAACAGTCCAATATGATGGACCTGTAGATGTTTGCGGCTGTAGAACTCTAAATTCACATACATTGTGATTGTCTTTCATACTAATGCGTGTAATTCTTTGCCATGATGTAATGTTACTTACACAATATATTTTCCAAGCTTTCTATAAGCACAATTGTTTTACATGGTGAACCTACATTGTGTTTCAGTCAAGAATGAGGGTTGCTCAGGAGTACAGAGTTCTAGGTTATCAGGTATGGAATACTTTATCTTTTTGGCCTTTCCAACTCAATTTCTTGGTTTTCAGCATTTTGCAGGAAAATAATGGAGTGATGAGGTGACTTTGCTGCTATTGACTTTTACAGAAACTAACTGATCTGCGAGATGCCATCACCTGTATAGCAGACCATGCCATTGCAGGGGAATACAGTGAGCGTCCCTGCAATGTTCCAGACATCAGGGCTAAGGTTTGATTCTCATTTGCATGAATTACATCTAATTCTATGAAACTCTAATTAAGTTACCTCGATGCTCCACACCTCTTTCAAAGTTTCCAATAAAAAAAACACCTTGCTGTTCCAAAATGAGCTGCTAGGGTGCTCAAACCTATACCCCTTCTTTGTGACCTAAAAAGCTATTTTCCACCCAATGATGTGTAATGGGGTCTTCTACTCAATGGATGTTGTGACTTACACTGATCACTTCAACTTTTAACTTCGTTTCTGCTCACAGGATATCTACAAATCAGCCTACTTCTTCATAGAGAATGTCTTCTACAATGACCTGAGATTTGAAGACAGCAGGGACCTTAGTAGGTATGTTTGTGTGAATTCTCACCACAATATGTACAGTACTGATATATACTCCATAGCACCACAGTACTGAAACACCTGTGGGTACAACAAGGTTATTGGATTGAAATGCTGACAGCAGTGGTGGCCTTGTTGGTAGTGTTGACTCAGAATCTTTTGGATACCAAAAAAGTAAAGAATATCTTGTTTTCCCATATAGGGAAGTTCGTGAATGGAAGCAGAACAAGCATGAGGGAAAGGGATCTTATACAACTAAAAACATGGAAGATGTCAAGTTCAACGACCTCCACATCAGACTGGGGTACCCTTATCTGTACTGCCA